AAGCCAATTTCACCAATTAAACTAATGTCGAGTTGGCGATAGAAATTTCTTGGAAAAGTCTACCAGTCCGTCACTCTGCCAGTCGACCAAATTGTCGCTAACGCAAAAGGGGAAACGATAGCGATGCAGTCGGAAAAGCACACGAAAAGACAGCTAAAAGGCGGCATCAGCCTAAAAAATGTGCAAAACGAAAAGCCCGGCGAAGCCGAAACACGCAGAAAATACAAACTACAAGATACAAAATACAAAACACAAAACACAAAACAAGGCAGTCGGTCGTGCTTTTGCCGGCTTTTAGTGGCTTTTAGTGGCTGCCACTACTGACACACTGCCGCTGTTGCATGTTGTTGCTGCACATTTGTGGCCATGAACGTGAAAAATCAGCAAAGTGAAAAATAATTGATTCCGGAAGGAAACTGCCGCAACTGGTTTCAGTTTGGGCCTCCGTTTGGTTTTGTTTTGGCAAGTGGTTGCTGCCGTTGCGGATTTCATTTTGTATCTTTTTTTGTTTTTTCGCTTTGGTGCCGTAACAGGGGAAGCTGTGGAAAGCCGATCTGCTTTTCCAGCGAGTGAAACTCAGCTGTCACGCATTTCTGGTCTATTGGGCAGCCCGCTGAGGAGGAGCAGCCTTTGTTCCACTTCACATTCCCCTTCGACTTTGGATTGGATTTGGAATTCGGATTGAGATTGAGACTCCCATTGCCATTCCCCGAAAGCCTCGATTTGCCGAAATGACAGTTCTGTGTCAGCAGCGGCCAAAAGGAAGTGGAGAAATCTGATCTCTGGAGAGGAACCGACTCCGACGCCGACAACGACTCCTAGCTCTTGATGGCTCCGCAAACAAGGCCCGTTTCTGGGCCAGTGGCGCAGAAAGTGACTGCCGCTGGCAAAAAGTGAAAAACAACACAGACCAAGAACCCACCATCAAACGAGGCACCCAAGCATCCAAGATCCAACCATCCAACCATCCAACCATCCGACCATCCAAACCACCCACCAAACCAAGAGCTATCGTTCTCAGCGCCATGCAGGAAGTCAATTACCGCCTGGAGCCAAAGACTCGGCCTCCGCATCCATGTATCTTTGTATCTTTGCATCTGCGGCCCCGCTTGTCGCAACTTCACAATCTCTGCCCGCTAAACTTTCTCAATTTAAAATTGCATTTGAAACGATGCTGATGACGCGGCTGTAAAGCTTGCTATTTTGCTAGCTACACACAAACAATTAGGGTACGAGCTATCATTTTAGTATTTCGAAAGATTTTTAGTTTCAAAGTTATCGTCGAATTTTAACAAATTTTTAAAATTTGAAATATTAAACAAATTGGAGATTGATCACATAAAACTAATATCCAGAAAAATATTATATTTACAAGCTCAAGTCCACACAGTATAGCTACAAAAATATAGGTTAGTGTTAACCAGAGAATAAAGAATAAATTATATTTACAAAATACGTGCTTCACACAACAAAATTTGGGAAAGTCCTAATTTTCATCCTTTTAAGATACAATCTAAAGTTATATTTAATAATTATATATATATATATATATATATATTATATTTCCATTTATATTAAAAAACATTGTTCTTAACTTTATAATCCAAAGATGTTTATCAGAAAAAACCAAACTGATATTGTCAAGTATTTATTACATATTATCTCTTTGGACTTTTCAAACAAAACCAAATTTAACCGATTTCTTTTAAATTTTTTTCGGTATAGCTAGCGATTTCCCTCGAATTTTCCGCAGCCGAGCTGGAAGTCGTTGCCATTTGCCGCCGCCAGCCGTTGACCGAAAAAAGTGTGTCAAGTTTTCGACAAAGATCAAGTACATCGCAGATAGTACGTCAAATGTGTTTTGCTGTCGTTGCCCCTGATGGCGGAGTCGGAGTCGGAGTTGCTGGAGTCTTGTGCCCGGTGCCCGGAGTTTCTGCATCCGCTGATTTTGGTGCTCTTGCCGCTGGCCAGGCCAGGCATTTCCAGTTGCCATGACCAAAATGTTCTCAAAATCCATTGCAATGTGGCTTAGATTTCGGTGCAATTTCGTAGTGAAAGTGCAGCGGCAGCAGCAGCAGTCGTTCCACAACTAGTTAGAAAGATATGTGTGGCACTCCATTGCTGCCATCGCCGGTAATTGCCGAGCTGCGCAAGAAAGCCGCTGTGGATCTAGATTGTGGGCCACAGATTGGCCAAATAGCTGGTGGTGGGCTGGCGAATAAATCGCATTCCCATCTCGACTTGACGAAATCGTGTTCTGGCGATCTTGTGGGTGCCTGCGCGACCCACTTGGACTGCAGTGACCCACTCAACTGGCGGCCCATCCGGGTCTGGGTCAGAGAAAGGGAGAAGATGCGCGATGCCAGCCGATGCCAGCGTTCACTTTTGCCTCAAACAGATGCCGGCAGACACGAGCAGATGCCAACTGTCATTGCCCATCAATCGATGGCCGAATGGGGGTCAAAGAACTCCCGGCTTTCCACTGCGTCTCTGTGGTCTCCATGGAGGTATATGTACCTCTCTGCGCGGACGTGAGATCGAGATTGAAACCGAGATCGCGATCGAGTCTTGAGATAGGACCAAGTCTGGACAGGAAGGGAAGCGACTGGAAGTGACTGCGCTATTTTCATATGCGCGGTGCGCAACCGTTCCCCCTGATAACCCAGTATCCCAGTTAAATTTGGAATCAAAAGCCGTAAAAGCCGAGGCGGGGGAATTTGAATGCGCGCCGAAAGAGAGAGCCAATAAGTCCGTTAAGTTATGCATAAATCCGAAATCCGAAATCCGGCGGCGTGGGCGTCAGTCGCCCTCGGTCGCCAGTCGGTACTCACTCGTACTTTCAATTGGAATTGTGGAACCGTCGCACTGCCATTGCCCCGCCCCATTACGCAGTCCCATTACGCAGTTCCATATAAAAGCCCCGACGCGACTTGGCCGGCGTTTCTTTTACCCCCACAATGCCGAGGAGCGCGCTCATCGTTCCCGGTCTGATTTGCTTTTGGCTGGCGGCCTTGGCCCTGGGCGCCGCTTTGGAGGCGGAGCAGGAGAAGGAAACGGAGGCGGAGACGGAGCCACTAGCCACGAGGAGGGTGCTTCTTCGTGGACAGCCCGCGGTGCCGCCCACTCCGAGGTGGGGCGCCAACATGCAGATGCTGCGCCGGCACAACAGTAGGTACCCACCCAAGGTGCCCGAAATTTTAAAAGTTCCATATCCCGATGTCAGTGAATAAATATGGAAAAGTTATCCCCAAATAAAGTAAACTACGCAAGAGGTTCTCTTTTATGTTCAAAATGAAACGTAGTGTTTTTAAAAAGATAGAATTTACCTTACCGGCATGATCCCAACTTTAATTTCGGTGGTTCGTTTAGTTATAATTACTAAAACACACACTACAAAGATAGTGGCAGGTAACTCCAATCTCATTTTTTTATATTAATATGAAACAGTATTTTTAAAATGGTTAAAAATACCATATCAGCATGATTTCAAATCAAATTTCGGTGGTTCGTATAGTTTTAATTATTTAAGTACAATAGTATGCAATGTCATTTTAGTATATAAAAGTATAAATAAAGTAGATTCAAGGACTTTATGTTGGTACTAAAGAATTTTATTTATATTTATTAAAGAAATGTAACATTTTTATAATGTTAAAGAGCCTATCTTGAGGTAAAGAAGTAACTTAATGAGTCACCCTACTGAGAGAAATCTTTTAACCCGTATTTAAGCACTACAAAACATCATAGAACTTAGGTTCGCGAACTCCCATCTTGAACTAAAAAGGTACTTCACATAATTTAGTGAGTCACCCTACTGAGAGCAACCTCTTAACTTAGCCAGGAATGACACTCAACACCCGCTATTTTCAGGTCCCGCCTTCAACTTCTGGACGGAGGACAGCGAGACAAACATCTGGGAGCACTGCGGCCTCTTCGAGGGAGACATCATGCTGCACCGCGAGCTGCTGAGGAACGGGCTGCTCAACGAGCGCCTCACCTGGCCAGAAGCCGCAGTGCCCTTCTACATAGATCCCCAAGACTTCAGTGAGTATTCGCCGCCAGCCAGCTGCAAAAGTAATCCGACCGAACTCTCCATCCGAACAGCCGCCAACCAGACCATGGTGATCCTGAAGGCCTTCAAGGAGTACCACGACCGCACCTGCATCCGCTTTCGGCCGTACGAACAGGGTGACAAGCACTGGATTCTCATCAAGGGCAACTACTCGGGCTGCTGGTCGAGCGTCGGAAGGCGCTCCGGTGGCCAGGTGCTCAACTTGAACACGCCCAAGTGCGTCACCCATGGCGTGGTGGTGCACGAGCTGCTGCACGCACTCGGCTTCTACCACCAGCAGAGCGCCACGGAGCGGGACGAGTACGTCAAGATCAATTGGGAGAACATCCTCGACGGGCACGCGCACAACTTCAACAAGTATGCCCGCACCCACATCACCAACTTCGGGGTGGAGTACGACTACCAGAGCGTCATGCACTACAGCTCCCGGGCGTTCAGTAAGAACGGCAAGGCCACCATCGAACCTTTGGTGAGTAGGCAATCCCAAAGGGATCCCAAGTCAGTTGCAAAATAGGATACAACATCTTTGTGGTATATATCCATGTAATTGAGTATTTTTGCTTATCAGTAACATTTTAAGAAATATTCATCATACCATTCGATCAAACTTCTTCACATTGTTGGACAAATTACATAGACATTCAGTGAGTTTGCCTATTATAGGCGAATTATCTTCTAATCCTTATTTTAACAAGGTTACTAAAACATGTTGGCAATTCCAAAGGGATTCCAAGTCAGTTGCAAAATAGGATACAACATATGCTTCGTAGAACATACATCTATATAATTGAGTAGTTGTGCTTATGATTAACATTTTAAGGGATATTCATTATACCATTCACTAAAAATTCTTCACATTATTGGACAAATTGCATAGACATTCAGTAAATTTCCCTATATAGGCGACTAACACTTATTTTAACAAGAATACTGTAACATTTCTATATTTTTAATGTCAAATTATAGTTCTAACAATCCATCTTAGATAATCGTAATCCTTAACAAAGTAGGAAACATAAATATATTATTGAGAATGAAAGAATTCGTAGTTCATCTTACATTTAATTCAACAGTAATATATGCATTCGAGAAACGAATTAATAGAGTGAGATTTGACCTAATTAATGATTTAAGTATAATCAGTTTCGTTAAATTCCTATATTTATACTTGGCCACATCACGTATAAGTACACATGAAGAAAATTGTGTAAATGAAGCAGAGTAATTCCATGTTTTGTTGGATGTATTTTAAAGGAAATTATAATGGTGCTTTAACCAGACATATAGGGTGACTTACTGAAACCACTATATTTAATTGGTTCAGAGGGTTCTTTAAAGGGAATGGAGATTCAGTAGTTATTGCAGTTTCAGTTGAGGAAAGAATAAATTCGAAGTTCTTTAGGTTTCTTGATGATTCTCGATTTATGATGAAATTGCATCGTACCGCTCATTCCGCTCCTTCGCTTCAGGATCCGTACGCCTCGCTCGGCCAGAGACGCGGCCTCTCCGACAAGGATGTGTCCAAGCTAAACGAGATGTACGAACAGGACTGCAGCGAGGACTACCTCCTCAACTTCGATCGCTTCGGGAACTACATCGACGAGCTGCTCGACTACTTCCAGGGCAACATTCAGGATCTGCTCGGATAGAGACGCCTGGGGCCAATAAAGGAAAGTGCCGGCTAGGTGACGAAAAAAGTGAAGTGGCTGATCTCGTCGAGGGTTTGGGCGGCCTCCCCACGGAGAGCCGGGTACGAGTGATGCTCGGATAGCTGCTGTAGCGCGAATCGCAGCTCTGCGTTCCAAATACGCTGCACTCCGCGCAGACTAAAGCGGGCCAGGAGGCGCAGCAGCTGGCATGAGCGTTGCCGCAACAAGTGGTGACGACTTTGCAGAAGCGAGGCGAAGTTTAGCCGCGGGTTAAAGACGATCCGCTCCACCAGTTCTGCGTTTTCCGGCAGTTCGCGCAGCACACAACCCATTAAGGCCAACATACAGCCAGCCAGGCGCACAGAAGCGGAGTCAGAGTCTGAGTGTCTGAAGTCTGCGGGAGAACAGGAATGGTTGACGAACTACAGTACAGTACAGAGAATGCCATCCTTACCGTGGGTGAGGAAATTCAGGAAAAGGTCGCTTGCAGCCAGAATGGCCACGGCATCGCAGAACTGGGTGAGGAACTGCTGCTGTAGATGCACTAAGTGGCAAACCAGCTCGTACAGACTGCAGGCCGTCTCCAGCTCCTCGATAGTAAGTTCCGGGATGCTTCGCAGCGTCCGGCTGAGGGAGCCCACTGTGAGTGGGGCGGAGGCGGCGGAGTCAGAAAGCTGCTTGTGCGACAGGAGCAGCTTGCAGGCGTACATTAGGTTGGGAACCAGTTTGACGTCCACATACACGTTACGAATTAGCTCGAGATCGACGAGCAGCACAGGATCCACCAGCACAAAGGGCAGCGACAGTAGCTGGGCCACGCTCTTGAGCACCCGGGGAATGGCCTTGGAGTTGCGCAGCGGCGCCACAATAATACTGACCAGGTTATGCTGCTTCAGTGAGTCCAGTTCGCCGTCAAGCAGCTCTTGCACTGAACGGTTTAGGAAGGCTAGCCACTCATCGTTTTCGATGGGAGGACTTTGAGACTCATCGCAACTGTCCCATCCCGGCAGCAGGCAGGGCGGAGTGTTGCTGTAAAGGGAAAACAGGACAGTAAGTGCAATGAAAATTAAATGATGATGTGGCCACTCACTCGCTGCTCAGCTTCTCCTCGTTGGTGGAATGCATCGAGTGTTTCAATTGCTGTGGCTGTTGCTGCGGGGGTTGTGGATTTGTTTGTGCATTCGACGGAGCAGGGGGCTTCTTCTCTTGGGTAAGTTTCTCCTGGGTGAGAACCTCCGTGGCCTTACGTTGCGCCTCAGTATCGACGCTTTGACCCAAGCGCACTGAGAAGTTATCCAGGTTTTGGCTTAGCTTACGCTTCTCTAGATCCTTGCTTCGTGACTGTCGCACGGCCGGAACGACTTTCGGCTTGGCAACCACGCCCCGCAGAGAGGCCTGAAAATCGAAGTTGTCGTTCATGTGATTGAGTATCATGTTCGAGTTGCCACTAACGAAGCAGGTGTGCGAGTTGACGAGCGGCTGGTGGACCACCGGCATTGCCCGCACACCGGACAGATCTCTGAAGGATAGTTCCGCAAACGGAACAACTACGCGTTGCATGTTGTCCTCAGCATCTGTCTCGAGTTGCTCCACATCGCTGGGCGCAATGGCGTTGATGCTGTCGCGTGAGGTGCTAAGGTTCTCCTGTCGCGCCTCACCGAAGTTCAAAGCGGCCAGGGCTTCGTCAAGATCACATGCCTCCTGGTTGGAGGGCTGGGGCAGCTTCACCTTGGCCGCGGGATTTGTGAAGGGCGACTCCTTGGCCGCCTCCGCCTGCAGATCGGCGATGAAGATGCGGCCCTCGACGAAGGGATGGCACAACAGTTGCGTCCAGGATATGCGCATGCCGGGGTCCTTCTCGAGCAGGCCTTGCAGGAAGGAGCGGCACTCGCTGGTGAGCGTGCTCGGCCATTTGACGTCCTCGTGCTTGATCATCTTGACCAGGGTTAGGATGGAGCTGGCGCAGAACGGCGGCTGCCCAGCCATGCTCTCGTAGGCGATGCAGCCCAGGGACCACATGTCCGCATGGTGGTCGTACGGCTGCTCCGCCAGCAGCTCGGGGGCCATATATAAGGGTGTTCCCTTGATCGAGGTCAGGACGTGGGTGCCCATGGTCATGTTGCGGGCCAGTCCGAAGTCGCAGAGCTTGGCGTGCATATTCTTGTCGAGCAGTACGTTCTGCGGCTTGAGGTCCCGGTGAAGGATGCGGTTCGAGTGCAAGTAGTACAGCGCCGACACCAGGTGCCCGGTCACCCGGCGCGCCGGCTCCTCGCCCATGGCCCCGTTGTAGGACAGGTAGCGGTGCAGGTCCATCAGGGCGAACTCGGTGACCACGAAGAGGTCCGTCTTCGACTCGAAGGACTCTATCATCTCGATGACGTGCGGATGCTTCAGCCGGGCCTGGATGTCGCACTCCCTGCGCAAGTTCTTCAGCTCCTTGGTGGCTCTTCCGCGCTGCAGACGGTAAAAGGACTCGGTGTACTTGTTGCTCTTGCGCTTCCGCTGCCCGCCCACCACCACTCACCTTGGAGATCACTTTGACGGCCACCACCTTGCTGTCCTCCTTGCGTGTCGCCTTGTACACGCACCCGAAGGATCCCTGCCCCACCAGCGAGCTTACCGCGTAGCGGTTCATGGTGATTTCGTGCTTTATTTGGGTTTTGATTTTCCTCTGGAGAAGTAATCTGGGTAGATTGGTAAGACCGTAGCCTGCTGCCTCTGGAAATACCACTGTGCTGTGCTGGGAAAATATGCTTCAGTATTTAAGGATATGAAAATACTAGATGGATCAAATAGGGACATTTGTTGTAGACAACAACTGAAAGATGGGAAAACAAGATCTGTGGCAAAAGTATATCAAAGATTCCTTTATGGAAGTAGGACATTTCCATCGCTTATGTATTTATTATTATTAATTATTATTGTATCTGTAAGCTTTTCAAATTCATGGAACTGAGGATGTCCTTAAAAGTTTATACACTTAAATTTTTTGAAGGTAAATATTGAAAATACGTCAATATTTAATAAATAAATATATTGAGTGTTCCCTAAACCATTGCGTTGCTAAAAAGTTAGATTTTGCTCAGCTGCTCCATACAAACTCCATTTTCAAAAATTTCAGTAATTCTACAACATCAAAGCTACAGAATTGCAGAAAACATGTATTTCCCCCTTATTAAATTTAAAAAACCATGACAACTGTAACTTTTTGTAATGACCACGCATTGTTTAGTTTAAAATCAAATTGGAAAGTAACTTAAATATAATTTTAGACATGTTTTTACCTCCGAAAATATTTTCCACCAAACACAGTGGCTTGATAATTCAACTGGAAGCATTAAGGGCCGTGCTCTCAATCGCTAAAATCTTCTGTTGAGTTTTTAAACAATTCAACAGTTTAGGGATTCCCGGAAAATTTTAGTGGGTATAAAAATCTGACCGAGTCGGTAATTCATCGGCGGCACGGAACGGTCACACTGCACGGGGACTGCCGAAAACAGCTGATCGGTGTCTGTTTTTTATTGTGAAAAAGAGCAATAGTAATCGTTGTGAAATAGAGAATGATTGCTACTCTGAGCACAGCCACCCAGTGAGACGACACCCGCAACCGCAGCACGATGCGCGAGCCCAATCTGTACGTGATCCTGTCGCACGCGCTAATCGGTGAGTGGAGTGCCAGTACCGGCAGATGGCCCTGCCACGCCTCATCCGCCTCCTGGGGCAACCCGGGTTAATCAGGGCCCACATTGACATTGACCGACTTCCAATTGCAATCCCCCCGCTCCGATCCCCTGTCCAGGCTCCGGCTTCTTCTTCCTGTACGTGCAGCATGTGCGCGTGATCTTCGAGACGCGCACCAACATCCAGCAGCTCAACCAGCTGGAGCGGGAGGCGCTCCTGCGGCGCGAGGATGCACTGTACTACGCCTTCTACAAGCGGCTGGCCGATGGCCCGGACTTCTGGCACGGCTACGAGCAACTGAAGAACGTCACGGACATCGAGTATCCGAACAGCGTTAATGTGCTGCAGCGCTTCTACGTGCTGCCGGAGTTGGTCACGGCGTAAGTGTGGCATCCGGATGCGTTGTCCTCCCCACATCCAGGCACCTAACGCAGCTACTCCCTTGTTCTATCCCTCCAAAGTTACTTCTTCCACGTGGTGCGCTCCGGCTTCAATCCCATGGTGCAGCCCATGCAGTTCTACCTGGAGTTCGTGTGGCTCATGGGCGGGGTGACCCTGCTGGTCCTCTATCTGTACGGGACGCTGCTCAGCGAGAACGTGTTCGGCGGCATATACGGCGTGATCTCGTACCTGATGTTTCACAGCTTCGTGGCCAAGATCTACGAGCGGCCCCTGGCGCGGGAGAACTTTGCCTTCCCGTTCATCTTCCTGCAGATGTTCTACCTATGCATCTGCATCGGGAGGATCATACATCGACAGCGGCATACCTCGCGCCTCTTCATGGTAATCGAGTAGTTTGCGAAACTAGGACCATTGGGTAACAGCCTTGCCTTTTGCAGATCTTCGCCATGTCGCTGTTCACCGCCTGCGCCCTGCTGTCCTGGCAGTTCTCCACCTTCATCTTCACCACCCAGATCCTGATCGTGATGACGTCCTGGAACGTAAGCGCCCTGCCCACAGGTCTGGCCAACGCCTTCGCGCTGGACTATTCGCTGTCACACCTGCTGGGCCACGCGCTGGCCTTTGTGATGTCGCACGGCAACAGCCAGCTGCTCTTCACCTGGCAGCTGAGCGTCTCGCTGTCACTATTCCTGATAACCGTGGTGCGACAACTGCGCCAGGTGCGGAGCCGGCGGCTGGGACACGCCCACGATCCGCTGCAGGGCGACTACTTCTCGCTTAAGTTCATCCTGCTGGCGCAGCTCTTCGCCAGCAGCATGCAGACCAAGCTGTTGGAACTGCTTAGCCGTGCGGGCGTGGTTAGTGTGCCGGATGGCGCTCACACGCACTACTGTGATCTGTGGGCCCATTGGGCTCTGCAGGTCAACGTGGGCTTCGTGGCCCAACTCTCCGCCTGCAACCCTCTGTACGAGCGCATCGCCTGGTCGGAACTGTGGCAGCTGGTCAAGACGATGATCGTGAAACCATACTGCATGTACGGCGTGGTCATGCTGGCCATGTTCTTCCGCCGCTGGCGCAAGAGCGGCGCCCCGGCCACCGCCGCCAGTGAGGAGCAGCGCGAGCGAGCTCGGAACTACGTGCTGGAGGACTTCCTCGAGGAGCACCGCGTCTCCATGGGCGACATGTCCAACCGTCAGACGGAGCAGCAGTTGCAGCAGTGCTTCCGTTTGCTCGAGAGCTGCGACCACGACTACGAGCGCTACAAACGCGCCCAGGCCCGCCTGCGTAAGGAGCAACCGCCCGCTCGCGACGACTTCATGCAGGACATCCGGCGGCTGCGGGCGCAGATTCACCGCAACAGCGACAAGCAGCGGAAGGAACGTGCTCAGGGAACCAAAGAGGCACCTGGAGACGGGACTAGCCTGCCAACCGAGGGGGATAAGCGCCCGGAACCGCAGGAAGAGGAGGAGGAAGAGGAGCAGGAGTCAGGCAGCCCAGAAGCCGAACCAGAGTCCGCGACAGATCCCACTGAAACGCTGCCGTCCAAGTCCCCCGGCCAAGAGGAGGGAGAGCCTTCCGCTGGCTGCACCTCCACCGGCAAACGACGCCCGAAGCGCAGCTCCTCCAGGCGCAGCTCCGTGGTGCCCACGGCCAACGCGCAAATCCTCAACCTGCACTACATGTACAGCTTCCTTCAAATGCTAGTCTTCACCGTAATCGGACTCGCCGTGCGCAAACTCTTCTTCCTCAGCTTCACGCAGGGCTGCGTCATTGCGCCCACTGTCTGCTCCAAGGTGTGGTACCACCGCCAGCGCAACATCTTCTGGTCGGTCTCTCTGGCCGTCTTCCTGCTCAGCATGTTTGATCCGGGCATGGTGGTAAGTTGGACTTAGCTCTATTTGGCTCTGGTATAATTGTGATTCCCCACTCCCGCCCCAGAACATTCGGGAGGAGTACTTCCCCACGCGCTACACCCAGAGCGGCGACGACCTGGACAGCATGCTCGAGTGGATCAAGCTGAACACGGAACGGGATGCTGTCTTTGCCGGTCCCGTGGAGATCATTGGCACCGTGCACCTCACCACCAAGCGACCCATAGTCAACCATGCGCACCTCGAGATGCGTCAGATGGCGTGAGTAGTCCCAATAAGAGCGAGATAGCTTATCAGCCAGTCCTGCCCGCTGTCCCGCTCTCTTTGGCAACCATGCCCATTCATGAACGGAATATTTCGCCTTTACAGGGACCGCACGGAGCACGTGTACTCGGTCTACAGTCGCCAGCAGTCGTCGGATATCTATAACCAGTGCGCTCAGCTGAAGATCCAGTACTTGATCATATCGCTGGACGAGTGCACCAACGAAGTGCGGTGAGTAAACGAAGCAGACCAAGCCCTCGAGACGGACACTCGAAGCGAATGGCGGGCCAGTTAATTAGTCTGAACCAAAGAGTTCTTGAATCTGAACTCTTATCTTGATAGTCAGAACCAAAGAGATCTTGCTAATGAACACTTTTACCTTCGCATTGCAGCGACGATTGCGACCTGCTGTCCATTTGGGATGACAAGCAGCCGGCGTACCAGAAGTACCCGCAGTTTTGCCACGAGCTGCTCCACAAGAATGTGCCCAGCTTCCTGAAGGTGTACGCCAACGACCACTACGGCATCATCAAGATGTTCTCGCAGAGCGTCCAGATCAACCTCAAGCACAACAAGATGCCCGAGATGTCCATATAGGAGTAGTCGGAGGCGGGATGGTGGGATGGGGAGTCGACTGTGTTGTGTTGTACGTAGCTGCGTGAGCTGTGTGACTAGGGATTAGCATTTTACGATGTGTGTGTATTATGATTACGTTTAGTATTGCTGCGGCTTGCTCGCGGGCAAGACCGAGCCTCCCACTCCTCGTTGCCCCTTCGCCTCCCCCTTCCGCGTTCCGTTCCGCCTGCAGATAGAAGGAGGCCTCTTCCGCTAGATAGTAAACTGGATGCATTTAGCAGCTTGACTCGTTTCTGTCCGCTCAGCGCCGTTGCGTTCAGACCTCGTTTGGATCATTCCCCGCGCCCCTCGCATTCGAATAAGTTAATCTAGCCGTACGGACCGACTCTAAACTCTAAATACTTTCGTTAAGTTTAAGCTAAGCTTTTTACATTTACGTAGTACATGTGTATATGACGTTTGGTCAGAGAAGAGAGTGGATGAAGTGCCCCCGAAATCCACGATCCCAGACCTAAGAACAGGCAAAGCGCATTTGCCAGGCAATAAGTGAAATAAAACGATAAAGTTGAAACAATAGGAAGAGGTTTTATGTTTAATTTGAAACTTTTTTGGTATTCTCCCTTATTTAATAATTGCATTATTTATTTTTTTTAAAACTAACAGTTCGTTTGGAACTGGAATTTACTCGATTCCAAAAGAGAAGCCCGAATTCTATAACGCATTTTTGTAAAATATGAAAGATTTTTTTTATAATTCATCGTGGCATAGTCTTCGTGTTTTAATCATTTACCAAAATAAATGGCTTTTTTGGAGGTTTAAAAAATTGGTGCTATTTCACTAAAAATTACATTGTATGAAAAATCCTTTGTACATTGCACTATGGGCATAAAAACCGTTTATGGTGCATAAACTCTAGTTTTTAAGACATTGACTTGAAACTTTTTTTGGTGTATTATTTAAACTTAAACAAAATTTTGGTTTTTGGTTTTTTTTTTAATTTGTCCACCGCACAGTAGTTAAAAATACATTTTAAAATAAGTAATTATTATAAATTATAATTTTAATCCTATTTGGTGTTACATTATAGAAAAAAACCGGTAACATATTTGGGATCCATTGTTACATTTGAAGAACACTGAAAAAAAATTCGATTAATTTTTTTTAATAACTCAACAATTTTAACTTACTCTTCTTATTTTTTCCTTGTTTTTTAGTTTTCAATATCGTCTGGTACCTCTTCCTCTAATTCTATTTCAAAAGTGTCACTTACATCATCGTTACAATTTTCTTCATCTGTGTCTTCTGTGCCTGGGGATATGATTGGCGAATCCAAAAGATCTACAACCTCTGCTGGCAGAGGCATCCGGTTGGTTTTTGTTGAGCAAAAACTAGATAATAGGGGATCAGACGAATCCATAGCTCTGTGAACTTTGGCTTCATTTTCGGTCCATGCTATTCCAGAAGGTCTACATTTTAATTTCTCCTCAGCTATTTTCGAATAAGGGGGGTAAATATCGCAGCCATGTTGTTTACTAATTTGTTTTACATTTATGTATTGCTGCTTAGTAAATCCATTTTCCATAAAAAAAGCGAATGCCTTTTCAGAAGTTATTGGACTCGGAGCCAGCGATTCAGTTCTATCACTTCTTTTAATAATTTCATTTACTGTTGATTTTCTGGCGGAAATGTTAGCAGCGTGTAGTAACAAAGGAGTAGAATTTTCATTTTCTACCGCAAGTTCAGATGCCAACTTTATTTTGAGTCGTTTACCAGCAGCTTCATATGACAATTTTGGACGACCACCTTTCTTCTGTGGGGATTCATTTCTATCAGAAAGTATAGTCATATTACCGGCTAGCCACATAGCGTGTTTTTGTCTAAATCGCTTTATGTTTCGGCAGCATCGAGGCAAATGTTTATTTATGTAATTTATAAAGTTAGTAATTTTAGTTGATATTGTTTTTATTATTGTTTCATTTTGATGATCGGCATTCAATTTGGCGTATATGTAAGTTTCCAATGCTTCTCGCGAGCGTTTGTTGCTTTCCCAAACTGCAAGAAGAGCCCCGTGACCAAACACATATGTCTCTACATAAACGCAAGTTTTGCGAAAAGGAGCAAAAATGAGCAAAAACGGTTAGTTGTATGACAATAAGGACACTTTTGTAATCAATTTCTCGTTCTTACTCTTTTGCAAGTCTGTGCTATTAATAAGTTATACTCCACAAAACACAAACACAATTGTTAGTTCAAATCTATAAAGATACACATATAAAGCAGTTCACAGGTGGACAACAAGACACATAAAATCAAATGTTAAAGCTAATTTGCATTAATAAATACCTTTGCAAGGAATTTCCATTTTCATATTTATTAATCTTTTTTTCACAGAAAACAACAAGCACGTAAAGTTTGCCAATTTTTCGCGCTAATTTAACGACATAGCAAAGCCTCTCGAGTGGCAACACTACAGAGTTGCCACCAAAAATTTTTGGAGGGCGGTTTTTTTGAAATGAAGATGTCTAGATTTGATTAGTATGGGCCATTCATAAAAATTAATTAAGAAAATAAATAGGTTTATGCACCAAAATCGGGTTTATTACCCATAGTGCATTGGCAAAATAATTTTGAAGCTATCGATGCACCGCATGATCATAATCACTAAAAGCAAATGAGATAATGGTTCAATCTTTATAAAAAATAGGGCAATTTTGTGATATGTTAAATTTTGAAAAAAATTATTTATAATTCCATATTTCGTATTATTTTCGATCCCTAAAACATGTATACATTTCTGAAGGAAATCTTTGGACCGGAATTTTATAGCACAATATTTCAAAATTTTTTGTTGATAAAAAAAATAGTGCAAAATGTTAAAACGGTAATGCCCATTTAAATTAAAATAACAAACCATAATTTCGAAAACAATGCCATCAATAATTTCAACTTCGATTATTGGATACCTAAGCGATATGTAACTTCGAAAATCGGGTGCGATACACTCGGCGTAATCGGTAATCGATAATTTATCGTTAGCAGATTCCGTTTTAAAGCCGCACCCTTCTCTGGTAACACTGTCGCATTTTCGTTAAAAAAGTCGCAAATATTGCAAATTCTCAGTAAATTCCGCGGCCTTACCCATCGCCACCATGCTATACCTGGAGGACTACCTGGAGATGATCGAGCACCTGCCGCAGGAGCTGCGCGACCGCTTCACGGAGATGCGCGAACTGGACCTCGCAGTTCAGAGTGAGTGGGCCAAAACAATCCCCAATCCCCGTCTCTAAAATTCGGACCACTCCATCCACAGACAACATGGACTCCCTGGACAAGAAGGCCCACCTGTTCTTCAAGCAGTGCAAGCGCGACGAGCTGCAGCACGAGTCCATGGACACGGAGTTTCACAGCCTGCGCGGCGAGTACTTCAAGGTGATGGAGGACGCCGACGAGAAGGTGGCCATCGCCACCCAGATCCACGAGCTGGTGGAGCGCTACCTGCGCCGCCTGGACAGCGAGCTCTTCAAGTTTAAGTGCGAGCTGGAGGCGGACAACAACGGCATCACCGAGATCCTCGAGCGCCGCTCCCTGGAACTGGACGGCAACTCGACGGCCGCCACCGCCCTGCTGCTGAGCATGAATCAAAAGGAGAACCGCTACTACGGCGCCAGTTCGGCCAACTGTCTGGTCAACAGCTCGACGGGCCACGCCTCCGGAGTCGCCACGGGCCCCTCTGCCATTGCCCTGGTCAGCGGAGCCGCTGGCACCGGCGGTGCGCTCTCCAGCATCTCCACGGCCCAGCTGAGCTCCAGCCAGCGGCACCGCAAGCTGGAGAAGCGGCGCGAAACCATTTGCACTGTGCCCGTCCAGGAGAAGCGCCCCAATCTCAATCACTCTCTTCCCGTGGTCGGCGCCGGCGTAACAACAGCCTCGGCGGCCTCCTCTTCTTCCGCCACAGCGGCCGCAACAGTAGTCGGCCTCGGCAACGTCTCTTCCGCCCAATCGCAGGCTTCCAATCACATTGGCAGCGTCGCCGCCACTCATCTCACTCTGCCCGTGGCCGTAGGCGTGACCGGCGGCGGTAGCAGCCTGGCCGGCAGCTCCCTGACCACAGGAACCGGCTCCCTGGTGCGCCAACTGCCCACGAACCTGGCACACAGTGTGATGAGCAGCTCGGGAGGAGCAGCTACGGCAGTGGCGGCGGGAGGAGCCTCCACACCCGTAGTCACAGCGGGTTCGGGCCACGGGCACGCCCACAGTGGACACTCGGCCGGCGGAGCGACTGTCACCTACAACCTGCAGCAGCTGGGAGGCGGAGCCGCCGCGTCCAGTGCCATTGCAGCGGCAGCCAGCCAGGCGATCGTGGCTACGCAGCAGATGCAGCAGGGCCGGCGAACGGCCAGTCTCAAGGCCAGTTACGAAGCCATCCACGGCACGGCGGGCACTACGGCGGAGTTCTGGACACAGGCGGGTCAAAGTGGCATGCAGCCGTCGTCGACTGGATCGGTGACCGTGGCTGCCGGCACAGCGCTGGCCACCGGCGGAGCCACCGCCAGCAGCAGCGGCTCGCATCACTCGCATTCTCAGTCACACCACAGCAGCCATGGACACGGACATGGCCATGGGCACGGACACGGGCACGGGCACCACCACAGCAGCAGCAGCCACAGCGGCCACCACCAGGAAAAGAAGCAGAAGAAGAAGCTAACCACTGCCCTGACACTGCCCACGGTGCAGCCGCCGGCCGGCTCCTCGTCCGGCAACTCGATTGGCTCCGCGTCCTCGTCGATGAGCGTGGAGTCGGTGGGCAAGCTCGCTACGGCGGCCATGGCGATGGCGGCGTCGACGGGCTCGACCTACATGTCGGTCAGTGGACAGGCGTTGGTCGCCATGGGTGCCGCAGGGGGAGCGAACCTGGCGGAGAGTGTCGCTGACGGCGTGCCCGCCGGCATGATAGCCATGAACCTGCCCACCGCCACAGTGACGCCCGGCTCCAGCCTGACCATCGGCGAGAACGGACTCGTGGTGGAGCAGACCAACGAGGGCGAATGGTCGTACGATCCCAACGAGCCGCGCTACTGCACCTGCAACCAGGTGTCCTACGGCGACATGGTGGCCTGCGACAACGACGCCTGTCCCTACGAGTGGTTCCACTACCCCTGCGTGGGCATCACGCAGCCGCCCAAGGGCAAGTGGTACTGTCCCAAGTGCACCGCTTCCATGCGGCGCCGGGGCAATCGAAAGAACTGAGGCTGACTGCGCCTGCTGGCGCCCCTCTTCCGCGGCGGGGGCGGCGGCTTGGGCACCTGGCCGCGTCGCTAGGGGCGGATGTGGGCTCCAAGGGGCAGAAGCAAAAGTATTCAATAAAGTAAGGTCAGCAATGGAGCAGCCCGTGTTCTCATTCGTGGGGAAAGTGAAGTTGGGGTCCATGCTAATGGAAGAGGTTCTTTTACCAAGATTTCCCTCAAAGTGGAAAAGGAGATGTGATTTATGCAAGCCCAATTCTTGTCCAAAAAAATACCAAAAACTTGAATTCAAAGTTCCCGCCCTCCGAAAAACATCGGAAGAAGTGCAAGTGCAGTTGCAAATTCATCGCAACGGTAATCGAATCGATAGTGCACTGCTGAATGTTGAAATGACCTCTGGTCACGCTGAGCAGAAGAAAAGAAAATTTCCAGCGTCATTTGTGCAGGAAAATTAGTAAACAATAAAAGATTACAAACAGTGCGGGGCAGAGCGGAAAGGTTACTTGGACACAACAATTCGACGCAGATCGGTTCGATAAACGGCCTCAAGATTGGCAAGATACGCAAGAGCAAGAAAATGAGCTACAACGAGAAATCGGAGGCCATCACCAAGGAGGAGTGGCTGCAGCGCCTGGAGCAGTTTCCCTTCAAGCAGGCGGACATGAATCGCCTGATCATGAACTACTTGGTCACAGGTGAGCATCGAGCACCAGGCTCATGGAACACAGTACACACAATCAGCAGCTAATCCCGGGAACCCCCGTTCATTTCCACAGAGGGCTTCAAGGAGGCCGCCGAGAAGTTCCAGCACGAGGCGGACTTGGAGCCCAGCGTGGAGCTGAGCAGCCTGGACGAGCGCATTCTCATCCGCGAGGCGGTGCAGGCAGGCCGCATTGAGGAGGCCACTCAGCTGGTCAACCAGTTGCATCCGGAGCTGCTCGGCAGCGATCGCTATCTGTTCTTCCACCTGCAGCAGCTGCAGCTAATCGAGCTGATCCGCGCCGGAAAGGTGGAGGAGGCCCTGGCCTTCGCCCAGAGCAAGCTGTCCGAGTCTGGCGAGGAGGCCATGTTTGAGCTGGAGCGCACGCTGGCCCTGCTCGCCTTCGAGAAGCCGCAGGAGAGCCCATTCGCCGATCTGCTGGAGCAGTCGTACCGCCAGAAGATCGCCAGCGAGCTGAACTCGGCCATCCTGCGCTGCGAGCACAGCGAGGACTCCACACCCAAGATGATGTTCCTGCTCAAGCTGATCTTGTGGGCCCAGTCCAAGCTGGATAGCCGCTCCATCAGCTATCCCAAGATGAAGAACCTGGAGACGGCGCACCTGGAGCCCAAATAGATTGGCCAATGCGGTGGGATCGGGATCGGGATTACACTAAGGATCCTTCGATCGACTCCTTGAAATTCTTTGCTAATGCTATTGCTATTGTATCTCTTTTAATAAGTATGTATGTATGTATGCTGGATGTACGCAGTAAATTATTAAATAAGTAGCCGGAAAAGCCATGCAAATTGCTCCATTCTCACCAGCCGAACATGAGGTTCATGGCCTTGTCCATCAGCCCGGAGCTCTTTTGGGGCACATCCTTCGTGGGCGAGATGGTGTTTTCGTTGCGGGCCAGCTTGTACGACTGCTGGGCAAACGGCCGAATAGCGACGGGGCTGGTTGGAGGACTCCGCGTCGTCTCCGCATTGGCAAGCCCGCTGTTGTTCTCCTCGTCGAGCACCGACCGATCCGTGCAGCGGGCCACGCCGACCATCACGTTGCCGGCGATTATCTTGTGGTTGTAGTTCAGCGCCTTGTCGCTCTCGATGCGCGACGAGAAGCGCACATGCATCCAGTTGCCGTTCTGCGGGGCATGCACCACGTCCACAATGGTCCCGCAGAGGGTGAAGTGCTGCAGCACCATGGAGCTGGCTCCGGGCGAGAATCCGAAGATGGTGACCCAGAAGTCGGCCAGGCGGGAGTTGCTAGCCGCTGTGCCCGTTCCCGAAACTCCTGGCGAGGCAGTGGCGCCCAGCGGCGAGCACAGGGCCCGCATGGAGGCGTTGATGGCATTGGGTGCCCCGGGCGCGAAGGAATCGTTGGTATGGTAGCTGCTCTGGATGCTTTGGTAGCTCTGGTACGGCGACTGCATCTGCAGCAGGCTGAGATGCCGTTGCTGCGGCGTGGTGGTCTGATCCCGCAGCGAGTCGAAAAGTCCCTGCGTGGGCGGTCCCGCCTGGTGGTGACTGTGCGTGTGGGCGTGGCCGGGCGAGGCGTTGGCGCCAACTGCAGACTGGGAGACATTGTGGCCTCCTTGGCCGCCGCCGAACAAAGTGCGGGTGTTCAGGGCGGAGCGGTTGAACTCGTGGGGACTGCTGCCGCCCGGAGAGGTGGCTGGGGAAGATGTGCATACAGTCTCTGGAGGATCAGGGCTATCCATGCCGCCAAACTTACCGAAACTGACATTGTAGCGACTGGGCTTCGGCGATAGCGTGTTCTTGTGCGGCGTAAGGCCCTGTGGATCGCCCAGCAGGAAGGGCGGCAAGTACTGGCTCTGGTTCGAGCCGGGGCTGTTTACAGGGCTGCCCAGGGTCATTGGCTCCATTTTGGATTCGTGCAGAGGGCGCTGGACAGTTCAAAAGTCTAGGAAAAGCGTTGAATTTGATCGGGACGCCACCGATCGCACAGCTGTAGATCTTTAGTGTGACCAGGCCGGTGGTGGGCGGAAATACCCGCCTCTCTCGCGTTGTGGGCCGGTATTTTGGCGGCCCCACTGCAGCGGTATCTTCCGGCTCTCCCTCAACGGTCACTCTAGCGGCCACCTTTGAACAACAACAGCACGCGTCGCGTCTCTCCGCCTTTCTCCTTTTTTTTTTACTCTACACTCTCCTGGCATTTTACTCACGATTCCGTGTCGCGCGTGATTGAATTGGGAATTGGCAAGCGAGAAAACACAGTGTGCGCGCAGTGTCAACAACAAACACAAAGTTAAAAACACCCGGACAACGATAACTACATACAAATTCCAAAAGGCAAGAAGCAGACGCCAGCGAGCGAGCAAGAGGCAGGACCTTCGCAGCGAGCGAGAAAAGGATCGAGAGAGCTGATCAACGGGAAACAGGGTGACATGTGGAGTCCGACGCACTGCAGTGTAACGGGTGAGTGGGGGCGAGTGACGAGAAACAGGGGACACCCGTTTCTTGTTGTATTATTTTTTACGGCGAATAAATCGCATTAAAACTTAAACTCGTTTGCCGTGCGCGTGTGTGTGTGTGTGTGCTGTATGGGACTTGCAGTGTGTTGGTGTGTGCTTAAAATATTGTCATGACGGACTTGTTGTTATTTTTGTTGTACCGTACCTATTCGAAATTTCACTTTCTCCCCCGCGAGCTCTCTCCCTGGCTCTCAGCTGCTCTCTTTATGTTTTCCTGATTTCAGTTTTTATCAGACTTGCCTTTTCTGGCTGATAAGATAATTGCCTTGCTTCAACACATTCTTACTCATCGCTAGAAAATTGCCCAAGTCGCCCACGCCCCTGTCTTTCAGCCCACCCCCTGCCATTGCCATTCTTGCACGCCGCCTCTGGTGGCGCTTGTTTTGGGGCCTCTTGTTTACCTTTGGCATTGTTTTCAGTTTTTCACTGTCTTCAGGGCTGAATGTCAATGAGAAATCGCGAATTCCACTTCAGATTCGTGACAAAACACAAAGCGCGCTCTCATTGGGCTGTTCCCACTTTTGGCCCTGCCAATTGGCAATTATGGAAACAAATATCGGGTAATTATTGCTGCCATAAGTCGATCTTCGATTAATTGGCAATGGTGTGCGAGAATAGATGGGGGTTTGCTCTACGGAAGTGCGACTGTGGAAAGGTTTCCACTTGTGTGCGTGGTTTAAATGGTTTAAATGGCCAAAGTAATGAGTCACTTGCCAAGGCTTCGTGGAATGTGTGTACACAAATCAAGAAGATAAACACGGGCCCTGCAGATACGAGATACGGATAGATTCCGCTGCTGGGCCATGCCCCTCTCCACCTTGAACTTGCCCCGCTATCAGCCAGTACGTTCTTCATTCCACTCGTCATTTATTTTGCATATTTGCACAGCGCACAGTGTTTTATTCCAGCAAACTGCGATTAAAAGCCAGAGCCGTTGACGTCACGGCGAGTGAGCAAACAAATCATCGCCGTGGCTCTCCCAAATTCGCCGAGTTTCGCCTTGTTTGCCTTTTTACACACACACACGCACGCACACCTGTCAATATTTGCCAATTTCTTGGTGAGAACAAGATGAGCGCACGCTTTGGAAACAGCTGTTTGCGCTGCTGTTCTCAGGGGGCTGCTGTTCCCCCTTCTTTGGAGCCAAAAGGTGTTCCCACACAGAGAAAAAATGTAGATCTATTTGAAGATTTGATTTATATGTGTTAGGTGAAAACATTGATCTTTCTAACTTTCTTGTATTGATCGCCCTGTTTATGAAGAATGTAAATACCGGAGATTTTCAGCACTAGGCCAAACTGTTTTTTTCTGTGTGCAGTTACTCTATTCCCTCTTTGAATCCCCACCAACCACCTGGATTTTCACCTTTTTGTTAGTGACTTGTTTGGAACCATTTCACCCAGGAAAGTTCCTTATCGACAGCCACTCCACCCCAAAGTTGGCCAATTGCGTGCCTTATTTTTAGCCGTAAATTCTTGGCGGCCACTCACCCAACTCCCATCTACGGACACACCTGAAAATACCTGAAAATGAAAATTCCGCAGCGGGAAATTGTGCAACGAGCGGCGGGCAGCCAAGCAGACCCAAACAAAACAAGCGGCTAATTTTCCTTTTCATTTCCATTTCGGTTTTGGCTCAGGCTTTATGTTTTGTTTGCTTTTGCAACGCATTTTCATATGCGGTTGCAGTGAAAATCAGAGCGGGCCACCCCGCCCTTCTTATCAGCAGGGAAAGGTGGCGGTACAGTGAATGGCTGTTAAGAGGAACGAAATCGGGAAGGGCAAGGAAACAATAAACAAGTCGATATTATTTCACTTTCAACCATTCAATCAATGGAATCCAGAATTAAAAGCTGATTCTTGGGGGTTTTCGGGAAATCCACTCCATAAATAAAACGATAAAGAACGAAATAAACCATAAAAGTAATATCAGATTTCAGTAATACTATCGGATTTCTATAATACTATCAGATCATTGAATAGTACAAATATTTAGTTTTTATAATGTTTATATATTGCGTTTTCAGCGGGAATAATCCCTGATTGAAGCACCATTCTCATAAGGAACTATTCCCAATGACTCTATTTACCATATTTCCCGCTGTTTTCACAAATCGATAAGGAAATCGATGCGATAAGAGCGGGAGAGGGTGCACCTTGGTCACGGGCAGATGGCGTCTCGAGATAATGCCCACCGCGGGGGTCCCCTCCCCGTAATACCACCATCCATCTACACGGGACCGTTTTAATGCGGCGCTGTCGATGCACTTATGCGAAACAGTTACGTTCCATTGCCCGACCCATTTAGCCAGAATAGAACCAAACAAACCGAGCCGAGCTGAAGCGGATCGGATGGGATGGGATCGGATCGGTTGGGAGAAGAGGGGGAAGAACGGAAAACAGGTCTGGCATTGGATTGTATCTCTGCCCGAAACTCCGATTGCTGCTCTCTTCGCATCGCGGGTCTGCAATTGATTATTTTCCAGTTCCAGTTCTTGGCCAGTGGCCACATTCCTGCATCGCTACCCAAAACCCTCCTCCACCAGTCCACGGGTCCACCACTCCACTCGTCCCCTCCTGAATATTCATGCTGGGAATCGGATTCTCGCGGCCCCTTGCATTCATATTCAAAACATGCCGCGGTAAACAGAAGCCCTCTCCGTTCCCCCTGATCCGCTCCAAATGCTAATTGCCTTTCATTTGGGAAAAACTCTGTTTTCTGTTTTGTGCTCCATGTTTCTTCCATGGTTTCCATTTCCATTTCAAAATCGCACGGCTTCGTGGGTTCAATGCTTGCGAGAAAGAAATTGTTTATGCATAACAATAAAATGATCCGCAGTTAGATGGTGGGATCCATTGATAGACCGTTTACTTTGATCGCCGCCTTTGCACATTTTCGCATTTTCGCACGATCTGCACACAGCAACATTTCTCGATGTTGCAGTTGCAACATTAATTGTGGCTAATGCTTTTCATCAAACGGGATCTGTGCTGTAATGCCGGGCTATAAAGCTGCGGACTGGCCCCCGGTTTGGCCCCAGTTGGGTGAGCTTGTAGCACGTGCTGACCCTTGGGTGGTGCCTTGTAACCCATGACCCCTGACCCGCCCTGATTGAGGCAGCTCCCCTGGCATCCGTTGGGAAATCAGCCTCAATATCTGGCCAAACTGGCTGCCAGCAAGCCGAAAGAGTGTCTCTAGAAGAACCAAACCGAGAATTGGAACGAGGCAGTGGCTCATTAGCATGCGTGCTTGGATGCCCATGCCCCAAGGAGCATTGGCCTCGGGCGCAGTGGTATTATTACTATATGTATGTGCCTTGCTTCTGGCACTCGGCCACGCCCCCGCCCCGCCCCCGAGGGGAGTGCGAGAGCGGGAAAAGTGGAACACGAAAGTGCGTGCTGGGAATTTCACGTTTAAAGTGAGATACAAGAAGCCAGAAGAAGCTACATGGCTCTTTTACGATCGCTGCACTGTTTCTTGGGCTGGCGGGGACTTCCCCGCCAATTAAGTTTCACAAACACACACACACACAAGCACAGTCCGGGAATAATCCCCGTGACTGGTGCGATCTTCATTCCAATGCCCGGGCACCTGAAGTTTCTCTTCTCTGGGAAATGGATGATGTGGATGTGGATGTGGAAATGGAAATGGAAATGGTCACCTGTGGAGCATCAAGGCACTGCAGTGCTGGCACAGAAACCAGAAAAGCAGCCGGAAAATCAAACAAACAAGCAGAGGCACACCGAGAAATGATTTCATTGAAATTAATTAACCCAAAAGTTGACCTCTCGCCTCTGCGCCTCTCTTCTCCTCTTGCCACACACAGACAGTTAGTCAGTCAGTCAGTCAGTTCAGAAAGGTCAACAATATGCGACGGCAGATGTTTATTCTATTGTTGCCGTCTCTCTGGGGTCGCATAAAACAAAAAACAAAGGTGCAGTCGCTTGTTTAGGAGGCTTTTAGCTATAATTGACTGTAAACTGAAGGGAAAACTGGGCTGGTTGGGGGGATTAAATCATCATGGGCCCAGTTCCAATCGGGGGTTACTTCTGGAACTCTGGACAGCAACTGGGAATCGATTGAGCATCGACCGGCACCGAGAGATTTCTCTTTTTTGGCATCGAAGCCGACCGTTATTTTCGGCTGCTATTTGGGCCACGCGCCGAAATCGAGCGACAGGTGACTCATGGAGTTGTGGTGCTCGACTGGCATGAGTAATCCATCCAGACGATCCCTTCCCGGGCTTCTATTGCATGCCATAGATAATTCCGCGAGTTTGGCGATATTAATTGAATCATCGCCACCGAAAAACTCTCGATTTCCCCGCCCTCGCACGTGATTGAATCGAAATTGAAATGGGAAAAGTGCAAAGAGTGTTGGGCTTCTGTTTTGGCAGTGATTATATCGCCCCTCTGTCGGATCGGAGCACTCGGGGCACTCGGGGCACTGGTGCTCACATGGTGATCATCAAGCGAAAATCAAATGCGCCACAAATTGGCACAGTGGGCTGCGGAGTGAATTCTGGTGGAAAATGTCTTTACTTGAACCCAAAAATCTCCATGTTTCCTAAACTCTTGAGTTGTTGATTTGCTAAGAATTAAACAGAAAATTTCAATTTAGAGGGAACGGGCCAAAATGGCTACTTTTGAAATTTATACTAGCTATAATTAGTTGTCAAATTATTCGTAATTACTGCCTACAATTAATAAAATATGTACAAAGAACTAGAAATTTTCATTATAATTTGATTTTGTTGGTTATCACTGTCTATAATTACTGAAATTATAAAAAGATTTTAAGATATTCATTCTAAATTGTTTTTTAAGTATGAAATAAGGTGACAACTCTGGTTCCGAGAGCGGAGATTGTATGGAACAGCTCCCCAAACAGAATACCCTAAATGCTCCATAAATGTACCCGAAATAGTTCGATTTCGACCCACTGTGGGAGCAGCGTCATTAGTTTCGAGAGGCGGCCATAAAAGCGGACCAACTTAACGGTTTCGCCGTTGGCGGATTGATATTTGGTTTTGTTTTTGGCGCTGCTTGCCTTGTCTCCCCACCGCTTTGCCATTTAGCATTTGGCATTTCTATTTCGGGGCGCCCCTCCATGCAAGGCACACAGCCATCAGCCAACAGCCATCAGCCCATCATCTCATCATCGCGTTATGAGGGAATCGGCCTGGCAGGCAGGGCATTCGGAGGAGTCCATCGATCTCTGGCGGATTTGCATGAACCGCTGCACGAAATCGCCGGGCGGGTTATTGACAGCCGTACATCCATCTTCTCGTCTTCCAACGCCATTAACCATTGGCTATTAGCTGGAGAAAAACCGAGCCAAGAGCGACCCGAAGATGAGCCGGTGGCCACGCATCATTGATCTCTGGAGGCGGCTGGATTATCGATATTCAAGCACCGGTTTGCCCCGTCTTTAGCCTCAATTATGGGCCAGTAAGACAGAAAGAGGAAAAACGGGAAAACGGGAGAAATGAGCCGCAGCACAAAGATCCCAAATTGGCTTACAGGCATGGAGAGACGGGAAAAACTGTTAATGCGATAATAATTATGAGCCGAGCACCCGCCCACCGCCCACCGGGAGGCGGAAAAAGGCCAAGCTGGCTGGGTGGCACTTGCACTCGAACTGCAACCGAAAACGAAAACGAACAAGATGCACAAATCTTCGGGCCAGGCCCATTAGCCATTGTTGTTGCGCTTTCCCGCCTTTCTTCTGGGCAATTTTCACCGCCTTTCGTTGACACCGCTTTTCACTTTTTACCATATTGTTTATGCCCGGTAATTGCTTCTTTTCCCTACAACTCTTTTTCATTTCTTTTCTTTGCTTATTTTTTGGCATTACAAAACGCTCGGGGGGATTGCGAAAACAGACTTTGTGCACAAGTGCACAATCACATTTGAATAATCGAAATGTGTGGCAACTGCCGGGGAAAGGGGAGGAGTTTGCACATGCGGGGTGAACATCTGGCCAGTGGAATGACCTCCACCCCGGGACAAGCCCAAAAATAGATGGCTCCGAGTTCTGCTCGCTGCGGTTTTGTTCTGCCAATGACTTAATTTCGTCTCCATTTCATTTCGGTTCCCGTTTCCGGCAGTTGTGTAGCCAAAACAGCCCTGAACTGGAATCGGATTCGGAATCGGAATCGGCAGAGCCGGCGCCGAGGTCTCCGCACCAAAGACAAACAAAAAGCGAATCTAAGCCAGCGATTGTCGCCATTCGCCGTTCGCTCGAGTGAATCACTTCCCAAATTTTGCGGGCTCCGTCCAGCGGACCCAAAAACAAATTTCGAGTTTCACTCGAGCGCCTCGTGACCTCGAGCGCCCGACCAGAGCATCCGGCAGATATGAAAGCCATCACCACCGACACGCCAACCACGCAACCGCACAACCGCGGTTCGCATCCCATACCATCCCAAATCTCAAGTCCCAAATGGCAAATGCCAGTCCCAGCATTGTTTGCACGCGGCCGACTCCTCCAGATACATTTATGCATGGCCTGCGGATCTCTTCTTTCATCGGCATTTGTTCTCCAGTTGATGATGCATGATCCACAAACTTTTATGTGGATCATACGTTCCATTTGTTACATTTAGTCGAAGCTGAAAATGTCAAACTCATACTTGTTTTGGTGAGAATTAATCATTAGAGTTGGTGTACTCGTATAATTAATCAGTAGCATGAGCGATATATTCACTAACGTTACTCACTTTCTGATGTGGGTCGCCGATGCGTTGGGATGTGATTCAAACCGCCTGGTGCCGAGTAAAGATTAGAGCACTACACTACCCACTACCCTTGCAAACACAAATCTCTAATCTTTGCCAAATTTCCCTTCAATTACAGTGCAGCGAGCGCGGGGGCTGCTCACCAAGGGCAAGAATGGCACCAACAACTGCTTCGTCACCATCGCGCTGGGCAAGGAGAAGTACCAGACGTCCGTTAAAGACAAGGCCGAGACGAGCGTCAACTGGAACGAGGAGTGCGAGCTGTAAGTCGAGAGTTAATATTGTAATGCTTAATCTACAATGTTTCCAATCTCCTTGCACAGGAAAATCCCCGACCAGGGCAATCGCGCTGAGCTCACCTTGACCTGCCTGCACAGGAACAATCTGGGCATCGATGAGTTCCTCGGCCAGGCCTCGCTGCCCCTTAACGAGATGGATGTGTACGACCGGCCACGCGCCAAGTGGTTCAAGCTGGAGAGCAAGCCCGGCAAAGAGAAGAAGAACAAGGAGCGCGGCGAGCTGGAGGTGCGCATCGCCTTCGTGGTCAAGTCCGGCTCGCTGACCGACCTCAGCAAGAAGGACAAGCACAAGTCTTCCATCGGCCAGCTGGCCAGCTCCGTGGGCGGCAGCCTGCTGTCCATCGGCAACGGCGAGAAGCGGCGCAGCATCAGGAAGCTGGCTGGGTCGATTAGCTCCAAGCTGCACATCGGCGGCAGGAAGAAGCACCCGGAGGCTGGGGGCGATGACAGCAGCTCCTTCGGCGGATCCTTTGCCAGCCTGGGCACGCCCAACAGCTCCAACGGCAGGGGCCAGAACGGCGGCAGTGGGCGACGACGCGGCGGCCAGCGGGCGGGCGAGGCCGATCCCGGCGTGATCAGCGAGGACGAGGACGAGTTCGTGTTCGACAACCTCTCACACAAGAGCTCGGGCAGCTCGCTCAACATCCAACGCACCGGCCTTCAGCCGCCGCAAGTCGGAACGCCCAACTTTGCGCCGCGCCACCCATCGCCCCTGCTGAACAACGGATTGGCCGGCGTAGGAAGCGGCAGCGGGAAAGGTAAGCCAGCGGTTTTGCCAGTGACGCTCGATGAGGACGCGCCCATCGACGCGGAGATGGAACAGCTTGAGCTCGATTTCAGTGTCCGTGCCCACGCCCGCGCCAACGCCAGCGGTAGCGCCAGCACCCTGCCGCCTCCCTCGAAGCCGCCGCGCATCCCTTTGTCGCAGGCCGACGAGCAGCCGGCTGCTGGAAGCCTGGAGCGGGAGAAGCCCAGGGAGAAGCCAACCGAGCCGGAGAACGCCAAAGATGAGTGGGCATCAAAGTTGTATGGCAGTGGCAAGTACCTGGAGATCGGTAGCAGTGACTCCTTGAAACGCCGCAGCTGGGAGGATCGGGTCCCACTGCCGGCCAGTGTCGAAGAGCCGCCACCAGTCCCCTCTTCCAGCTCATCGTCTAGTTCCAGCTCGGATAGCGAGGACGACGACGAGCACCCGCCGCAGACTGCTCCACCACCAGTGCCTGTGTCTGTGCCCGTGCCTGCCACTATTCCCGTTCCGTCCGCTGCTGCTGAGCCAGTAGTGGCCACCTCCTCCTCGCTCTTCTCCCCCGATGGGGAGCACCGCAACTTTGATACGTTCAACGCCAGCTTCGCCAAGTTCGAGCAGCGCAACAGCACGGCCATCTTTTCAGATGAACCCGAGCTGGAAGACCTGACCGTGGAGCTGGAGAAGCCGGCGGCTACACCCACACCCACAGCACGCCCCAAGCCACAGCCTCGTGCCACGGCAGATCTGAGGGCAGAGGAGGAGAAAACCAAGGAAGAGGCTGCACGGCAACAGCGCGCCGAGGAAGATGCCCGCTTGGAGGCGGAGCTGCGCCTGAATGAGGAGCGTCTGCGCGAGGAGGAGGCAGCTATGCAGAGAGAGCTGGAGGAGGAGAAGGAGCGCCAGAAGCAGATGCACTTGGACGAGCAGCAGAGACGCGAGGCCAAGCGCAGGGAGGAAGACCAAAGACTTCTAAGCTTCGCCAAACGATCCACTTCCCTAGAGGAGCCAGTTCCAGAGAAAGAGGAGCTGAAGCATGATAGGGAGCTTGTGCCGAAAGAGGAGCCAGAAGTTGAATCGCCAGAGCCGGAGCACAACTTCCTCACGCCCGAGCAGTCGCCCAAGGAGTTCCAGACGAATGGCAGCGGCAGTGGAAGCGGAGAGCGCTGGGAAAAGCGGCTGGGCAAGTTCAAATACGGCAACAAGCGAGGTGAGCTGATGAACCCGATCCGATCCGAACTGAACCAAACCGAAACCGAAACCGAACCAAATCCAGGGCAATTCCTGACCTCTCCAAAAAATATGGCGGCGGGCAAATCGCTGGCGGATCGCGAAGCGCACTCGAAACCGAACCAAGCTAACTTCCAGTCAACGCTGTCATCTATCGCGTCATCCTCCTCCGAAGCGATTCCTATTTCCCCCTTTTTTCCACCACACCTGTCTGTCTTTCCCGTCTGTTCCCTTGACTGTTTTATGTTGTTTCCGTTGTGTTTTTTGCATCCGCCAGTGAATTTGCATCGGAGCTTGAGCCACCTCAGCTCCTCCCTCATCCGCCTGCCCTTTCTTTAGTATCTCCACTAACCAGCTCCCTTAACGCTCCGCAGATAAATACAACAACGACAACGAGAGCAACTCGCCTAGTCCCAAGTCCACGGAGCGCATAATTATTGGCCACGAGAAGTCTGGATCACATGCGGAGCGACGCTCGGAGATATCCGCCCAGCTAGCCAAGAAATACGAGGGCAAGTCCCGGGAGGTAAGGGTCTCTTTCGTACTTCCTGTGTTTTGAAGAGCTCATGTTCTTGTTTCCCATCAGGAACTAATGCTAATTGCCAACGGAATGGAGAACGAGGCTTTGCTGCAACGGCAGCGCGTAAAAGAGTTGGAGGATTACCTGGACAACCTGCTGCTGCGCGTGATGGAGACGCACCCGAAGATCTTGCAGAATCCCTATTCACGCACCACGTCCGCCAAGAGGTACGCCACCTGGTCGTTCTGGTCGCCCACCCGGGCCACGCCCACCCACTAACCAACTGCATGACCCTGACCGCCGGTAGGATTGTTGATAGCCGCTAGCAAATAGCCCCTCGAGATCAAAATTCGGTGTCGCACTGGATGGATATGATTTTGATATATTTTATACATGATGTTTTCTGTGTGTTCCGTCCATTCGCCTCAAATATGAACAATCCTACTTCGATCCGAATGCGCTTCTCTATTAACCCTGTGTCTTGCCAACCCCAAACAACCACAACCAACCACCACCCTCACTCGTCATTTGTTCGTTTCTGTACCTGTTTTGTTTGCCATTCCTTTTTTAACCGAATGCATTTTTGTGATTTCTCTTTATTTAGTTATAAAAATTACATCAATATGAATGACTTTCTAAAGTAAGTGCTGCGCGCATGTTGCAACTTGCATTTAAGTAGACACTTAACCAACAAACCCCCAACAACAACAACAACATCACCACCAACACCACAACCCCCAACTACAACAACTGCGAGACGCGAGTAACAAGAACTGAGGCGACTCTGGCTGAAAAAGAGAAGGAACAACTAAGGCGGGATCGAAGTAAGAAGTACCGATGACCCACTGACTTTTCACCCCATCTTCGCTGTCTCTCGCCCGCTTGCTCGCCCCGCCTCTGTCTGTCTCTATCCAACAGCTCGCTCTCTCTTTCCCTTTCGCGTGCCTGTTGTGTCGCCTTGTCGATGGTTTCCCGTTCCCCTAGCGCTTAAGACTACCCCACCCGCACCCACTCACCTAGCACCTAGCACTTGTACCCATTGCAAAACTTGGTTATACTTACCCCATTTTTTTGTGTTGCAGCGGCTAACTGGAGCCAAACTGGTCATCGCCACCAACCGGTCCACTGGTCCCAGAACAGCTGGAGGAGATCGGCGGAGCCTCCGGGTGCAATTTATGTGAACGCATCGAAACACTAATCCAACACAATGTTGCCTTTGTCGTGAACAGCGAAATTCAAGTGCTTTCTAAACCGTATTGCTAAGAAGGGGAAACTAAATGTGCACACAGAGCATACTTGCTTAAGGAGTGTAACGTTTTATTGATATTTTCGTAGCATTCGTCGTTTTATGTTTGCCCCCTACTAAATCGAACTAAATTAATTGTACTATATACTACTATGTTGTGCCTGGCAATGCTAGGCCACTGATTTGCCTTTATTCGAGTCCCTTGTCGATTGATTGAAATTATCCAAGAGTATTTTGTTTATTTTTTTGTATGTCCGTATTTTTTGTAACATTGTGCAAAGAAGAGTTTTAAAATTTTTGTAAAGTGCTGCGAGGAAAGTGGCCTTAGTGGAATAAGTTTTAAATTATTTATGTTTTAGCGCCTAAGCGAAAGGGGGGAGGGGGACAGACCTGTGTCCCCTGCGAAAACACCACACACAGTTGAAATATGTTGATACTACAATGATTTTACTTATTGATATACACGCAAACGGAATAAAACCATTTTTAACATTAAAAGCGGCGGAGACTTCTTAATTACGAAGGCGATGGTTCGCCTGAATATCCACGTTCAAAATTTTATGGACTTGGGATTGACCAATTTCTATAAACATCTAAAGGATACAGACGTTCGATTTAAAAAAAACACATTCTTTAAATCGTAAGAAACGAAAATATAAAAGAAATAAAACGAAATGAACACTGAAAAAATCTTCAAGAATGTGTGCGCCATTGGATTGCGGTTTGTCTTAGCTAGAGTGGGCGAAATGCGTCCCACTGTGTTGCAAACTTATGACTGCTAGCATAAAATAGAAGGAAATTAATTTGTTAAACAGAGAATGGGAACGGGGTCCATAAAAAAGAACACAGTACTTACGGATGAAGAAATTATGACCCAGATACAAATTATTCTATTATAATTAGAAACAAATAATATTTTTGAAATAAATAATGCCTATTTTATTAATTATTTAATTGGTTTAGAGATGTGTGGCATTGGAGTGCACATTTTTAATCAGCTGACTCGATTTCGCTTGCATTTAAATCACAATTTTCCTCTTCGGGAAGCGTCAGGATTACATAGGATCCTTCCGCTATTTCAAGAGTGACCCAACCTCGGAGACCTGCTGATGTTCGCTCTGTGATAGGACATTGTTTTCTCTGGATAGGAGATCGAACAGTGCCGTCGTTCCTTTAAAAGGGCTCTGAGGCACTATAGTCGATGTCAGAATGCCCTACTTGGAAGGGTCATTCTGAAACTGGATCAACGCGACTTTAAAAACGTGCTTGTGCTAGGTGCTTGTAAAAAATGGAAGCTGTTTTTAGTCGAAGGACATTAGTCCCAACTTGGAGGAAATGTTTCTGCACACAATTTTATATACAAACAGATTCCTTAGTTGCCTTGCAGTCTGTTCCTAGCTCATAAAGGCAGGTTTTAAGATGTACAACACCGTGCAGCTCCTATAAATTGTATCTGGAGAGGACCTGCTGGAGGCCTACTTTGACAAGAAGGCCTACAAAGACTTGGACAAACTTCGAATGGAATCGAATCTCAGGATGGGAGATCTGAACAGTGCCGCCGTTCCTTTGAGATGGATCTGAAGCCAACAGTCGATGTCAAAATGCGCTACTTGGAAGGGTCGTTATGAAACTGAATCAACGCGACCCAAGACTTTATAGGGATGGTTTAAGTCCCCTCAATGCGGCCTATAAGGTTGATGAATGCCATCCAGTAGTCTTAAGTATTCTTGCGACCTACTACCATTTCATTGGAGATTACCAACTGGTCTTAAATTTGGCTCAAATTCGCATTGGCTTCATCGAAACTGCGCAGCTGAAATCGCACAGTTGTTATAAGGTGGCCAGAGTCACCATGGAAGTGTTGAATTCGACTTCGCCAAGACATGCTATCAGAATCCAGTGAGTTCCGCACCTGAAGGCTAAGTTCTGTCCCAAATAGGGCTGGACCAAATCCACTTGAGGGACGGGGTAATGGATAAGGACATGGCCTCAAAGTAGTCTGGCAGTCTAGTCTTGAAACATTGGGGTCTTGGGCTCATCCCATTCGGGTTTTGGATGGGCTGGGATTTGCTTGGCTTCCTCATTAATGATCAAGGCCAGATCGATGCAACTGCTCAGGACTGCGCTGGAGAATCTATAAATGTATAATAAATTATGAATATAATTAAATTTGTAACTACTTCACACAACAAAAATTAATTGTTAAAATTCACCAATACGGATAAAATAGTTAAATTAGTTATATTAAAAAAAAATGTGGGCCCCAGACAGACTTTAGCTTTGTGGCCGTTTCTGGGAGTTAGAGTGGGCGTGGCACTCCGGTAAACAAACTTGCGTGTATGCTGTGTGCATAATCCCAACCCTCTAGCTTTTAAAGTTTCCGATATCTCAGCGTTCATACGGTCTGACTTTCGGACAGAGAGACAGAGGATAACTAAGTACGTACAGATGAAGAAATTCCAACCCAGATACAAAAAGGGTTATCATTTGTTCTATTATGATTAAAAAAATTAAATTAAATTGTTTCTGGAATTGCGTTGGAGAATCTAGAAATTTATAATAAGTATTTTAAGTAACTACTACACACAAAAAAATGTAAATGTTTAAATTTATTAATACATATTGTGAACATTTATTGTGACGAGCAGGTTAAGGTGGCAAACGCGTCGAATTTCTCATTTGTCGTCGACAATGTATTTATGTATGTAAGTATTATGTATTATTTAGGGTCATGTAGTCTGTTCGTAAGATTGTTTTAAGTAAAAAGGTGTTTCCAGCCTTTTCAAATATTTTCGGAAAACCAAGTATATAGACGTATGTATGTATTTTTTTCTAACCTTAAAAGCCGAAGTCCTTGTTGCCAGTGCTTTACCAACTAAGTTAGTCTAGTTTTGTAAACCTTCTATCTGTAATAATAATAATAATAATGTATTTTTTTCTTCTAACTTTTGTACCTTTCTTGAAAAAATAAAAATAATATTTTAGTCAGGGGTCAAAATGCTATGCTAAGCAGTATTTGTAATTTTGACTACTTCCTATTGCTACGGGAGTAATTTCTTTAAAGGCTGAAACAAAGCATTTTTGAAATGCTACAAACAGAATACTATAAGAAGCCGTGGCAATATTTTAAACTATATCTGTTTTGTTATCAAATTTTTTGAATTTAGTGCTAATCATTTTTTAAGCGTACTAAAATTTTTGGTCGAGTTTCAGACCTTGCGAAACGTCTTCAAAGATTCTTCAAAAATTACTCATACGACATGTATACCAGCCATAACTTTTTCAAATAGATCGATTTCCCCTCCCCAACTTTGTCTCGGTCAATATTCAGCAAGCCGAAGCTTGTATACGCTTGTAGTTATAATAATTAAATTTAAAAATATAAAAAAATGATATTCCCAATAGTATAAGATAATATGTCAAAAAACACCGAAGCTTTAATTTGTTTCATATTATTTTCCCACCAATTTTCCGATCGTTCCTATGGCAGCTATATGATATAGTCGTCCGATTTTGATAAAATTAAGATTATTAGATTCGTCGGAAAGTATGTAACAGGCAAAAGGAAGCGTTTCCGACCCCATAAAGTATATATATTCTTGATCAGGATCACTAGCCGAGTCGATCTAGCCATGTCCGTCTGTCCGCCTGTCCGCCTGTCCGTCTGTCCGGATGAACGCTGAGATCTCGGAAACTATAAGAGCTAGGCTATTGAGATTTGGCGTGCAGACTCCTGAGCTTCTTATGCAGCGCAAGTTTGTTTCAGCAATGTGCCACGCCCACCTTAACGCCCACAAATCCCCCAAACCTGTAACGTCCACAATTTTCATGCTGGATAAAAAATTTTAGCTTAAATGTATTGGTCTCGTCAATACCTATCGATTGATCGAAAAAAAATTTTCCACGCCCACTCTAACGCCCATAACGCTTAAATCGGTCTACCGCCGGTAGGTGGCGCATTTTAATCTCGCTTTGCTGCTTGCATATCTTCATTTCCCTTTGGTCCCTTTAGCTGAGTAACGGGTATCTGATAGTCGAGGTACTCGACTATAGCGTTCTTCCTTGTTTTTTTCCCGATTATTCCTTATTTTTATAAGATATAGTTGTCCGATCCGGCTGATTCCGACATATATACTACCTGCAAAAGACAGAAGACTTTTGGTAAAGTTTCAGCCCGATAGCTTTAAAACTGAGGGACAATTTTGGGTAGAAACGGACGGACAGACGGACGGATGGACATGGCTAGATGGACTCATCTAGTGATGCTGATCAAGAATATGTATACTTTATGGGGTCGGAAACGTCTCCATCACTGCGTTGCAAACTTCTGACTGAAATCATAATACCCTCTGATAAAGTATAAAAATGACCATACAATGTTGACCGCCCCAGTGTACAGGGTAACAATTTTCGAAAACTAATCTTACCCTTGAGTTCAAGGCATTTTCCTGATGTCGCGCTTTTCTGTCTTGTTCTTAGATGAAGCCATCTGGGCGTACTTCCCGAGCTACCCAGGATCACATCGAAGATAGAAAAGGACTTTTTGGTAAGCTTCAGATGGATAGAATTATATTTTATTCAAAATCTTATTTAGTTTAGTACAATTAGGGGCTTACCTGGCTGCAATGTTATTGTTGTCTGTGAGCTGGATATCAGGCAGTCATAATAGCTCAGATATTCGGCGATAATGGACTTGTAGGGCACTACAACTTCATAGCCGCCGAATTTTCGTCTCTTTAGCCTCGTGGAAGCTTTCAAGTGCGAAACTTACCGACTTACTTACTGCTCAGATCTCCCATCCTGAAGCGTTGCCATTCGAAGTTTGCACAAGACTTTGTAGGCCTTGTTGGCGAAATAGACCGCCAGCAGGTCCTGAGTAGATACTATTTATATGAGTTGCGCGGTGTAGTACATCTTAAGACCTGCCTTTATGAGCTAGGAACAGATTGCAAGGCAGCTAAGGAATGTATTTATATATATAATTCCAAATCCGATTCCCTTTAACCCAATAACTTACCGCGTCTTGAATGAAAGTGTGGAGTAACATTTCCTCCAAACTGGGACAAATGTCCTTCGCCCTAAAAACCGCACCTATTTTTTACAAGCACCTATCACCAGCACGTTTAATGGAACACATATTTTTTTTGACAAGTAAAATTAGGGTTGATTAATACTATAAAAATACAACCTTTTAAAGGGTTGCTAAGATATACAAATATCGTATCATTTTTAGACTCTCGAAAAAGAGTAAACTGTTTTCCAACTATAATAACGTTCTCCGTTTAAGAAAGAGCAAAACATTGGTCTAAAAAAAAAACTTACCCTTGATGGACCGCGATTTCTTAAGATATGCGTGGTTCTCTTGTAACTTAGTTTTAAAGTAACGAATGCCCATCCTTCCACAATATTAGACCCAAACCCCCAAACTCCGATCTCTCCCTTTCTTAACTAGTCCAAAACCTGAAAACATACTTATCCTTCTTACATTTCTAAAAAAAAGCCAACGTCATGAATGAACTATAAGGCTTCAAGATGAGAATTTAAAGCTACTTTCTAATATCAAGTATCAAAATTAAGATTTCTATGTCTCCAAATTAAGTGTTATTTTTTAATCGTAAGCTAAATGTTAAGTGTTAAATCTTATATAATAAATAAGAAATAGATGAAAATATAATCAGCCGTAAGCCTCAGCAGCTATGGCTGTCATCCCTCCCTGTAGCTTAATTTAAATAAATAGTTTTAAAGTAGCGTATTTTGCGCGTACATCGAGGGCAATTTTTTTAGGCAGACATCGGAAATTCAACCTACAAAATATTTTGAGCTTTTAATAATTTACAAAGTTGATGATAAACTTGTACGTGTTATTCTTTTACTTCAAAAATATTGTAGAAGAATTTTTTTGTCACCAAATTAATGATGAAAAGTTTTGGGCCTTCAAGGTAAGCATGAAATGTTTTTTGTTTTGAACTGGATGGGGTTCCACTTCTTATCGCTCAATAATTATAGCTCAAAGTGTTAGCTATTTAAAGTTGAGGAATCTCTGGGCCTATATAATTTAAAATTTACAAAAAATCGTTAAAGCCAATTTTGAGAAAATAGACAAAGAAGGAAAAAGATAAAAACTTTTTGCTATAACTTTAAATCTATTGTATTTGGAGAATTTAAGCAAAGGCAGCGTTATTAGCATATTGAATTATATTTTCAGCGACATATAGCACGTATTTGTTTTAAAATTTTTGTAAAGTGCTGCGAGGAAAGTGGCCTTAGTGGAATAAGTTTTAAACTACACCAGTTTACAAAAAAAATTGATGAAATACGCCTTTCAGGAAACCTTTGTTTTCCGCTAAGATACATCTCCCTGATTAAGAAAAGGGCACTTAAAATTTTTTCTATGGTACCAATTTTTTTTTAAGTGTAAAAAACGTTTTTCGCACTTTTTTATTGTCTAACTCGAGTTGTGATAAACCGAATTCGGTCATCGAAGACTCATTTTACAGGTAATAGAATGCCCTTTAACTTTTTTATACACATCGTTGAGTGCTGCGAGGAAAGTGGCCTTAGTGGAATAAGTTTTAAACTACACCAGTTTACAAAAAAAATTGATGAAATACGCCTTTCAGGAAACCTTTGTTTTCCGCTAAGATACATCTCCCTGATTAAGAAAAGGGCACTTAAAATTTTTTCTATGGTACCAATTTTTTTTTAAGTGTAAAAAACGTTTTTCGCACTTTTTTATTGTCTAACTCGAGTTGTGATAAACCGAATTCGGTCATCGAAGACTCATTTTACAGGTAATAGAATGCCCTTTAACTTTTTTATACACATCGTTGAGTTCCATTCATTAGTTTAAAATCTACACTTCGTCAAAGTTGAAAAATTTGGAAAAAATGCAAAAACGATGGCATAAATGGCTTCTTTAAAAATACACGCCTAAAACCCGAAATTAGTTTTATGTTGTTTTCTTGAAGGCTGAACCTTAACGGAGAATAAGCGCCATTGATCACGACAATCCGTTGGTAAATCGATTTTTTACAGATTTTTAAACGTATATACCCAAGTTCAGTATTCGGGAGCAGCGGCCGTTAAACGTTATTTTAAATTTTCAGTGTTGGGGAACGTAAGAATTTGGTGCAAGTTGTTATGCATAACGTCAGTTTCCTTGTTATTAGCGCTGGGCAAGCTAAAAAGTATGCGATTGCAGTTACGAGGAAATCATTTTCATATATTTTTCAGACCTGTGTCCCCTGCGAAAACACCACACACAGTTGAAATATGTTGATACTACAATGATTTTACTTTTTGATATACACGCAAACGGAATAAAACCATTTTTAACATTAAAAGCGGCGGAGACTTCTTAATTACGAAGGCGATGGTTCGCCTGAATATCCACGTTCAAAATTTTATGGACTTGGGATTGACCAATTTCTATAAACATCTAAAGGATACAGACGTTCGATTTAAAAAAAACACATTCTTTAAATCGTAAGAAACGAAAATATAAAAGAAATAAAACGAAATGAACACTGAAAAAATCTTCAAGAATGTGTGCGCCATTGGATTGCGGTTTGTCTTAGCTAGAGTGGGCGAAATGCGTCCCACTGTGTTGCAAACTTATGACTGCTAGCATAAAATAGAAGGAAATTAATTTGTTAAACAGAGAATGGGAACGGGGTCCATAAAAAAGAACACAGTACTTACGGATGAAGAAATTATGACCCAGATACAAATTATTCTATTATAATTAGAAACAAATAATATTTTTGAAATAAATAATGCCTATTTTATTAATTATTTAATTGGTTTAGAGATGTGTGGCATTGGAGTGCACATTTTTAATCAGCTGACTCGATTTCGCTTGCATTTAAATCACAATTTTCCTCTTCGGGAAGCGTCAGGATTACATAGGATCCTTCCGCTATTTCAAGAGTGACCCAACCTCGGAGACCTGCTGATGTTCGCTCTGTGATAGGACATTGTTTTCTCTGGATAGGAGATCGAACAGTGCCGTCGTTCCTTTAAAAGGGCTCTGAGGCACTATAGTCGATGTCAGAATGCCCTACTTGGAAGGGTCATTCTGAAACTGGATCAACGCGACTTTAAAAACGTGCTTGTGCTAGGTGCTTGTAAAAAATGGAAGCTGTTTTTAGTCGAAGGACATTAGTCCCAACTTGGAGGAAATGTTTCTGCACACAATTTTATATACAAACAGATTCCTTAGTTGCCTTGCAGTCTGTTCCTAGCTCATAAAGGCAGGTTTTAAGATGTACAACACCGTGCAGCTCCTATAAATTGTATCTGGAGAGGACCTGCTGGAGGCCTACTTTGACAAGAAGGCCTACAAAGACTTGGACAAACTTCGAATGGAATCGAATCTCAGGATGGGAGATCTGAACAGTGCCGCCGTTCCTTTGAGATGGATCTGAAGCCAACAGTCGATGTCAAAATGCGCTACTTGGAAGGGTCGTTGTGAAACTGAGTCAACGCGACCCAAGACTTTATAGGGATGGTTTAAGTCCCCTCAATGCGGCCTATAAGGTTGATGAATGCCATCCAGTAGTCTTAAGTATTCTTGCGACCTACTACCATTTCATTGGAGATTACCAACTGGTCTTAAATTTGGCTCAAATTCGCATTGGCTTCATCGAAACTGCGCAGCTGAAATCGCACAGTTGTTATAAGGTGGCCAGAGTCACCATGGAAGTGTTGAATTCGACTTCGCCAAGACATGCTATCAGAATCCAGTGAGTTCCGCACCTGAAGGCTAAGTTCTGTCCCAAATAGGGCTGGACCAAATCCACTTGAGGGACGGGGTAATGGATAAGGACATGGCCTCAAAGTAGTCTGGCAGTCTAGTCTTGAAAGATTGGGGTCTTGGGCTCATCCCATTCGGGTTTTGGATGGGCTGGGATTTGCTTGGCTTCCTCATTAATGATCAAGGCCAGATCGATGCAACTGCTCAGGACTGCGCTGGAGAATCTATAAATGTATAATAAATTATGAATATAATTAAATTTGTAACTACTTCACACAACAAAAATTAATTGTTAAAATTCACCAATACGGATAAAATAGTTAAATTAGTTATATTAAAAAAAAATGTGGGCCCCAGACAGACTTTAGCTTTGTGGCCGTTTCTGGGAGTTAGAGTGGGCGTGGCACTCCGGTAAACAAACTTGCGTGTATGCTGTGTGCATAATCCCAACCCTCTAGCTTTTAAAGTTTCCGATATCTCAGCGTTCATACGGTCTGACTTTCGGACAGAGAGACAGACATGGATAGATCGACTAGGCATGTGATTTATACCCCTATGTAGAAGTTTAAGGCATTTTGGCTGATGATAAGTCCCAATTCATCGCGCTATTCTGATATTCTCTTAGATTGAAATTTTCCACAGCTACCTTGGCTTTATTTCCAGAGATTCTCAGGAACTCATTGTAGATAAAGTCTCCCCGATAGATCCTAAGGAACAATGTGCATAGCAAATATTTATTTTTCTAATTTAATGAAATTAAGTTTAAAGTTTTGAAAATTTTTCAATTTGTGACCTTCAATTTTCAGGGCTTTTCTGGACTAGATATACAATTAAAATATAAAATAAAATGAAATAAAGTTCTTAAGCAGAGATTGAGAAAAGTCCCCTTAAATAAGGATAACTAAGTACGTACAGATGAAGAAATTCCAACCCAGATACAAAAAGGGTTATCATTTGTTCTATTATGATTAAAAAAATTAAATTAAATTGTTTCTGGAATTGCGTTGGAGAATCTAGAAATTTATAATAAGTATTTTAAGTAACTACTACACACAAAAAAATGTAAATGTTTAAATTTATTAATACATATTGTGAACATTTATTGTGACGAGCAGATTAAGGTGGCAAACGCGTCGAATTTCTCATTTGTCGTCGACAATGTATTTATGTATGTAAGTATTATGTATTATTTAGGGTCATGTAGTCTGTTCGTAAGATTGTTTTAAGTAAAAAGGTGTTTCCAGCCTTTTCAAATATTTTCGGAAAACCAAGTATATAGACGTATGTATGTATTTTTTTCTAACCTTAAAAGCCGAAGTCCTTGTTGCCAGTGCTTTACCAACTAAGTTAGTCTAGTTTTGTAAACCTTCTA